GAAAAGTTATAAAAATATACGAACATATATATATTTTATTCTGGCATACTTCATATTTTTAAGAAAGCAATTAGTAATTACCTGACATTGGGTAAGAACCAGAAGATCGTGGGCGACGTAAAAATTACAGTTTTATGTAAAATATCGGTGGGGGAAACCCCTAATCTTCTGTTCAAAATTCTGATAACTTTAAGTACTTTCCAAAAATAGAGACGATTTCCATCGTTTTAATAACGGATGTGGAAATGAACAAAACAAGACTATCCCTAAGTAACCGGTGCGTTTCAGTTGGTTAATAAAGTAGATGCAGTTTTTTGCAACTCTATTTCTTTTTGGTTTTCTTTCCTTCCTTTTTGATTTTGATGACAGGGGAAAAACATCACATTGCGTTGCCCCAGGTCGGAAAGAAGCGCTTGGGAGTTCGCTTCGTGTGCCGTTCTGTCCTACATCACTGGGAAGCGGCCGAGGGCCTGCCTCAGCTTCTCTGCAATCTGGTGAAAAACGAAACAACCTTGAGAGATCACGCCTGTTACGAATTCATAGTATTCTACTATTTCCATCTCTTATGAGTAAAACATTACAAATACTCCAGCTGAGGGGCACCTGGGCGGCTCAGTCGGTTGAGTGTCCAACTTCGGCTCAGGTCATGATCTCATCATGGCTTGTGGGTTCGAGGCCCACGTCAGGCTCTGTGCTGACAGCTCAGAGCCTGGAGCCTGCTTCGGATTCTGTGTCTCCCTCTCTCTCTGCCCCTCCCCCGATCACACTCTGTGTCTCTCTCTCTCTCAAAAATAAACATGAAAAACATTTTTTAAAAACAAATACTTTAGCTGGGCTATGCTTCTAGTCTCTTCCAGCACCAGGCAGCCAGAGAGACCCCCTGAGAGCCCAGAGTGTGCCGCTTCTTCCCAGCACGGCCCCTTCCTCCCTGGGGAGCCACACTGCCAGGCTACTCACTTCTCCCTCCAGTGAGGCAGCGAGAGCGGGTTTCAGGCTCGCCCAGATCCCCCTGCCTTGCTGGACACCACGGACTCCTGAGGCCCCGCTGCTGAGCGCGCCTCTCTGATCCCGCCTGCTGCTGGGCCGCCAATGTGGAGACAGCACACAGGTGCACCGTTACGGCCAGTGCCGTATTGCAGAGGAGATCATGTGTCTACCCTGCCCCCAAGGAGACCACACGGTCCTTGAGGACACAGATGTCTTCGCCATTCTTGGAGCCTAAGTATCTGGAATACGTGCTTGGTGTATAATAGGTACTCAATAAATGTTTGCTCTGTGAACAAATATGCGCATTTTACAACTTAAGGGTACTTTCTCATAAAACTTGTTGCATCTAACAAGGACGGTGATTGAATGCACGGGTTTCTATTTTGAGTCACAAGGTCATTGATAATTACACCTCACTTGGGCTTCAGATTACTGAACAAATCAACATCATCAGAATTTCAGCAATTCGCCTTCTTTTCTCACGTAGAACAAATGCAATCTGTGATTCCAACACATGATGAGAAGCAACCTTACAGCGGCACCGGTTAACACGGAGCGTGCAGCCGGAGAGCCCAGGAACCACGCTGCAGAGGATACGAAGGCAGAAGGGAATTCTTTCTAGAAACTCAGCGCCAAAACCAGCTGCTTCTGACACGCAATTCACAACACACGGAGAGCACACCAATCACAGCTTCCTTTCAAGAGTCTGTTGGAGACAGACATTTTCGGCGCTGTCTCGCCCAGAGAGGACACGTGCGTGGACGGGAGTTTGGGGCCTGCCTACCACCATCTTGAACATACACGAGATAATACCGAGGAAACAGTGGAAAACTTAGTAAGAAACAACACACACAGTCAATCACGCAGTGACAGGACTTGTCTTCCGACGTCTGAGTTTCCACTTACATGCCAGATTCTTTACTGACTGTACACCCTGGTCAACGATAAAATTACTAGGCAGAGTATAAGAGTTTACATTTCTGTTGCGGTTTCCTAAATGAAAACATTTGGGGCTTCTTTCTCTCGCTTGTTTTCTTTCTGAAGTTCCTTCGGTAGACAGGGAGACGTCATTCCCACAGGCCGCCTGTGGTGCCAGGCCCCTTCCCCTTCCCTGTTCCCTAGGCACAGAGAGGCTGCGGGGGTGGGGAACCTCCCAGAAAGGACTTATGGGGGCCTCACAACCAGCCTCCAGTACTCCTTCTTCCTGAAGAGAAACCTTTTCTAATGCTGTACCATTCGAAAAGGAAAAGGCAGATATAATTAAAAGGGTTTTAAAAAACACACCCAATAATTAACCTCCTTTGGTTTAATACTTAGGATTAAAAAATACAAACAGGTTAACTCTGTAGGGTCAAAGTTAAGTGACCACAAATCCTCCTCTGTGTGTGTGTGTGCGCGCGCGCGCAAAGGGCCTGGGGCCGGCGGCCAACTTACTGTTTCGTAGAACTGCACTTGCTGTTCCAGGTACAGGCGGATGACGCTGTTGTAGTCATAGATCCGGTTGCTATGGAAGTGATTCATCTCAGCTACAACCAAACCCAAGACATCAATCAGTACCCCTGAACTTCAACAGACAACACCTGGTTTCTCTGCTGGGTTGTGATCCGTCATCAACTGGATTTAATCTGCTTGGCTTCAGGGCAGGGGCAGTTCTTGACAAATCACTTTATACAGAGGCTAGAAAATCTGAGCAGTTGATGGCAAACAATACTTTCGGGCAGAGAGATGAGTTTTGTGGATTTACATGTTAGATACTAAGAAGCCTGACACGGTCACACACGTGTGGACTACTGTCCCAACAGAACCGATCGAGCAGAAGGCTGACTTGGTGGTTATTCTCTGCAGACAACAATGCAGTTGAGAGCATCACGTTATGGAGGACCTAGCAAGGTGCCTCGTGGGTCCTGCCCTGTTCCCCATCGTGTGGCCACTGCCTGGGCAGGTTTCTTGGGGCGCCCTGGAACAGCTGTGCAGATGGATGAGACACAGAGAAACCCTCTTCTGTAACGGAGTTTCACTGCCCTGAGCACCAGGGCTCTCGGAACTCGGTGTCTTACCAGGCGAGAGGACTTGACGCCCGTTCTTTATCTTTGCTGAATCCATCGATTCACAAATGACTCCCTTGTGGAAATTGGTCTCTCGGTGCCACCCCCACCCCATCACCAACTCTGGAGGGGACTTCTCACACCTCCACCTTGCATTTCCCCTTGCTCTCTGTGCCCAGAAAGCCAGCTGCTGGCACCAATTCCTACAAAAAGGGAATTGTCCTGAGTTTCGTGTTAGCTGGAGTCATGCGAAGCTTCTCATTTATCTATTTGGGTAACTTCAAACACAAGTTCAAACCAAATTCCCCATTGCAAACCCTTCAAAAGCCAAATCTTCACTCAGGCTTTCCCATTTCTGCCTCTAGTTGCCCTAGCTCTGGATATCTTCCAGACATTCTTCTCTTTGTCCCACTAGCTCCCTAGCCCCGAGGGGTGTTTCCTGGCAAAGTCCGTAAATGGGCCCTTCTCTTCTCTGAGCACCACATCTTTTTCAGCCCCTCAAACTCTCAGACTGCAGAAGCAGTCGTCTTCTCTGTGGGCTTCCTGACGTCTGCCCCCTTCAGTGTCTCCCACCCTCTCCCGGAGCAGTGGATCCCCTTGGCCCCCAACATCAAACCTTTAATGGCTTCCTAATGCCCATGTCAAGTCTAGGCTCTTCGGCCTGGCTCTCCAGGCCCTCCACAATCACCACACTTACTCCCCAACAACCTGCAGGTATACTTTCTGCCCGAAGGTCAAGAGGAGAGAATCTTGTCCCATTCTTTTGTGTGCTTTTGTTCCAACTAGAACATCCTTCCCCCTTCTCCTTTGCTTACACCTGTTCTACCCGCCCGTCAAAACAGGAAAAGTCTGTTCACTGCTCCTCTCTGCTGGAAAGCACTCAAATATATAAAAATTAACTAATATCTTCTTTTTATTAACAAACTTTGCTGAAAACGCTATGTCCAATCTCCCTTTACATTCTAGCGTCCTGGGGGACACAGGTTACAAAGTGCTAAAAGCTGAATTTGGGAATCTCACACGGTGTTACGGAAGGAGCTAATATTAAGGGTTATAAAAGTAATTTTCACTGTCTCTAAGAGATAATAAACATGTACAGGTTTGATCAGGCTGTCATCCATAGTTATGTCAGGGAAATGTGCAAAAGAATAAATAAATATTACAAATCTTCATTAACACTGGGATCCTGCAAACAACGGGCTTATGAGAATACTTTAAATCAGCTCTTGGTTACCTACTAGCTGTGGTTCACGTTTGGATTTCTCTCCAGCAAGAACAGCAGATTTGCTGGGGGCTGAGGGTGGGGGTGGGGTTTAAAATCTCCGCTAGCGGGGCGCCT